GCAACTGGCCTGGCGCGTGATGTCCCCGTTCGGTCTTCTCAGTTCATGCGCAGTTCATCTCCACTTTCTTCTACTGCATACTTGCTCGGTGATAGGTTCTTGCTCGTTGGTTCGTTACCCAGCCAGAGTTCCTCCTTGCTTATTCTCATTATTCTGGCCATCTGAGCTCCAGTATCGAGCCAGCGTAGGCAGTTGTTGATGAAAATCCGTAGTTTGTTAGAAATGCCTTCCGTAACGCGACAAGTCTCTGAACCATACAGAAGCACTGACTTGACTGGATTGGTGTTGAAAACCCGGATGTTGTTCATGCCTTGTGCTGACTTCAGAAGATCTCTGTACTGGTTTGAATTTAATGAAAGCCTGTCTGGCTGTCTTTCCGATCCTGGCTGCTTTGACGTCCTTGTCTACGCCTATGTCGTCTGTAGTTGAAACAATGCTGCCTAGGTAGGTGAAAGAGGCTACTTCCTTTAAGTTTCTCCCGGTATTGGTGACTGCAGCTTGTTTTTGTTGTGAATATTGTAGTATGCCTAAAGTAGGACATCAAATGTCTTTTAGCCTGTCAATTATTTCAGTGGAAACAACCATTTTTAACGTAAAATAATCTAAGGAAATTCATTGCAGAGTAAAAGAAGAAACAGGAAATCTTCAAGTTGACAAATTCTACTTCATTTCCTATACGGGATATTTTATTGTTTACCTCATTTCTTATAAAACATACAATAGTGATGTGGAATGAGTGAATGTCTGTCTTAAAGCTATAAAATTTCTACTTAAAGTGGAATATATTCAGTCTACCAAAATAAAAGACGGTAACAACCCACATTTAGAGGAAAATATTTTCAGAGAAAAGATTATTTAGGCTAAAAATAGACGATATTCTGATTTCAAGTTGTTATTCATCTTAGACTGACATCATTTGGAGAACAAAGGAAACCTGGGAGTACTGAACAGCTGTTTCATCCGACTAGTATGGACTCCTGAGCGGTGCTCACCCACGATCCCTCCAGCCAGGGATCGAACCGACGACCATCAGGTTCCATGACCAGCACGTTACCGTTGAGCCACTGGTCGTGAGGACAGTTACTTAACAATGATATTGGGTAGCGGTTGCCCTATATTGTGAGCTAACAGAAGTTGAAAATATGGACCATTGGATTCTGACCCAGTGGCGAGCTCAATGATAACGTGCTGGTCATGGAACCTGATGGTCGTCGGTTCGATCCCTGGTTGGAGGGGTCGTGGGTGCGCACCGCTCTGGAGTCCCATACTAGTCGTATGAAAGAGCTGTTCAGTGCTCCCAGGTTTCCTTTGTTCCTCCAAATGATGTCAGTCTAAGATGAATAACAACTTGAAATATTTTCAAATCCCCACAACTACCTCGATATTCTGATTGACTAGACAATGAAGTGTTATGCGACTACCATTATAATTTGTTTCTTAAAGGTATCAAGGAAGGAAATAGCATTATCCAGACACAATTTATTGTCTGAGGTAAAGTAACTTTACAACTATGAGACATGGCTTATGTGGTTTTAATTCTCTGTCTTTCTTTACAATCAAGGTACTGATATTTTTCATATATCTAGAACAGGTTAAGAATCATTCTTATTGTCTGTATTTGGTATTGGTTAAATACAGAAAGATAAGGTTATCAATTTATCTTTTCATCTAACTAGATTAGTTTCACTGATACATTTATCTAGGTGAGATTTCTTCAGTGTGCCTAATTTATTGGTAGGAAAAAGGAGAAGGGCAATCGGACAAAATAATGGATACCTAACAAGTGAATAATTATCTATCTAAATGTACTAACAAATTAGTGATAAATTAGAAGGAAAATATTGGCAGTAGTAGTAGTGCGAGTAGTAGTAGTGGTGGTAGCAGTAGTGTGAGCAGTAGCAGTGGTAGTAGTGGTGGTAGTAGTAGTAGTAGTAGTGTGAGTAGTAGTTGTAGCAGTAGTAGTGTGAGTAGTAGTAGTAGTAGTAGTAGTAGTAGTAGTAGTAGTAGTAGTAGTAGTAGTAGTAGTAGTAGTAGTAGTAGTAGTAAAACTGGTGTCAATAATGAGAGCTGCAGTACTGGGAAGACAGAATCCAAGATCCACACTATATTACCATACAAAGAGGATACTTCAGAGATATTACGTAGGATTCTCAGAAACAATCCTTATAGTTTAAAAGATCCTATTGATCCAATATAGTAAAATAACTAAGTCCACAAAATCCATTGTAACGATTGTGAGGTCAAAGTAAGTGACTAGAGTCATTTTAGCTGTTTCAGCGCGAGAACTTGGCTAAACGAATGTAGGAAAATGCTTTTTTGTCGTTATTCTGGCAGTTAACACAGTAATACGATAGAATAGGAAGTTTTAGTAGTCTTATAAACTTAGGGAGTTGGGTAGAAGTAAAACTACCAACTGAATCTTTATTTGTCGAATCACTACTGAATACATGAAATAAGAAGAATTTTTCACCTGATTCAGATACATAGAGAATTCTTTGCATTGCTTATATTCAATGGAATCACTGTGTGAGAAGTGTTGAGATCAGATGAAGGGTGTTATGCATAACAGGCAAGTCAGTAGATGAGATTGTGAAACTTATTTCAATTAGTTGGCTTGAATATACACTTTGTAAGCCGAACCATCGCCTACCTCTACTTACTATGCTAGACGATAGTGGATCAGGTTGGAAGATTGTTTAGGGTGGCCAAACCAAGAGTTAGCACCCTATTCGAATAAGATCAGCAGTTAGGGACTTTATAGACTGTTGGTGTAAAAAACAGAGAGAGGTGCTGGCTGCCTAGTTAGAGCCTTATGGTATAGCTGAAAATCGATCACAATGGTGCTGTTGAACTGCCTGTTTGTTATCTTCAGCAGTTTGAGCATCCTCAATAATCCTGATTACTAAATTCTTTCTCCTCGTAACACTTTAGTTGATTCTGATTTCAACCCAACCATTCTTTGCATGTTATGGTCAAGTGTGGTAATTTGAAGTAATCCAAAGAGAATTGTTTATACGATTTGTAAACTAGCGAATTATTAATGTTTGTAATGTTTCAGTTATCTGTTTATCTTAGTGAGGAATTAAAAAACATCATCATCGATATCAACATAGGACCAGGCATTACTGCGTAACGGTCCAACTTGCAAAATCTCATATCACTACATCAAGTAAAAAGGCAGTGAAGCGCCAAATGAAGATAAGAAAATTCAATCGAAAGAAATATGAAGTAGGAAAAGAGAGAAAGGAAGAATGAGAAAATGCTGAGAATCAGTATAGCGTCGTTAAGATGAGGATAACGTGTGTGTATACACCTGCAACACCGACATCGATTCTCAACCATGTGATCACCTACAGTCTCCAACCACTCGCACCTCTCGTCCCACAGACACCAACCACCAAGTCTGCATCGACTCACATGGCTTAAACCAACAGTCAGACACTTCATGCATTGGTACCATGTTTTAATCTGGCCACCTCAGGCCTTTCTCCAGCCTCAGCCTACTTCGGTCAACATTGTGTGACGAGGCAATCAGCGACTAAGCATATGTAGTACGTGTCACAACCAACCATCTCAGTCGATCAAGGTTCACTACCTAGTCAACTGAATTAACTCTTCTCCCTCCCTAAAACTCTACAACTACACCTGACATCTGCATTACTCATGTGGTGACAACACACAATACAGGCTATACTATACTACGAAGGCAATGGTTGTTAAACACCTGATGCCTTCTCTTGTCCTCACCTTCCACCATACAGCAGAAAAGAGCCGACTGCTGGGTAGTGCACACCACCCTTAATAGACAATCGGTATATCACGGTGGCTAAAGCCAACCGAGGCTTTTGTATCTGTACTGTTAGCCGTGGCACTGTTGGATACCAATCCTGGGGCAACACATCCCAAACATCCTCAAATTGCCACTCGAAGTGTTCAGAATACTCTGCATCTTCTCAGCGTCTTCACTTAACAGGATTATACTATCTGGATATTCTAGGTCTAATGGAAATTCTCCTATGGTTAGATCAACGTTTGTGTTATCTGGTGACGAGTAGGAGATATCCATAAGAATATCTATGATGAAATTGAATAAGAATGGAGATAGTGGGCACCCTTGACAGATATCACAATTAGAAAACACATCTGAGATTATTTTTGAAAATAAATAAACACTTTTATTTCTATTAATTTTACTCATTTTTATAAATTAACTTGACAAGTTTTAATTTACGCACAAAATAAAAAGGAGACAATTTAAACAAAAGCATACACCAGAATTGAACATTGAATTCATTTAACAAAGTGAATCTCAATTGTTTATTCAAGAAATGGAAAATACTGTCATTAATAATAATAATAATAATGTAATATTATTATCTGATAGTTTTGTATAGCTTAGTGATAACTACATCATCTTTCGTTTGTTTTTACATACTGAAGTAATAATATATGGTTTAATTGCTTTTGTTATCGCCTGTTTTCATTTCTTAAGAAGTTAAATAAACAACACTTGTGAAGAATATTGTCAGAAAGAAACTGAATAACAGTAGACATGTATAATACTTTCATTTATGCTGAAGACTGATGAATAAAGTCGATTTTATGTCAAGGATAAACCTACCAGTTGAATTACAACTCGTCACAATCTTAAAAGTAATGATGATAATAATAATAATAGTACCGAAGGAAGCTGTAATAATGATTGTAAGACAGTAGGGTATAGAAAAAGGAAAATATATAAAATGTAATTGCTAAGTGAAAACAAGCAAGCAAGCTAAATGAAAGCTGTTTGATATTTATCTAAAATTACTTAAACGCTCATAGAAGTATATAGATAGGATAGTGTCCAAAGGTTAATTACTGGTGGTAGCCAAGAGAAATCTTATGCATGCGATGATATTATATGACACAAAGTTCAGTTAAGAAAAACACTGCTAAATTTTTCAATTTTTATTCTTTCTGAAGTTAACAAATGATAAATAAATATTTGGAAGAAATAATCACAATGATGAGAAAAAAACAGCGAGAAAAATAATCGGATATTTGACTGAACAAGACAGAAGTTCTCCTGAAACTAAAAAAAGATAAAAAGGTAATCAATATGACTAGTAATGATGAAATAAGTCAAAACCGAAAAGGTGAACATGTTACATAACATTTCTCTTAGTGAAAAAATTTACCATTGCTATTTAGAGTTGAATTGTCCGACTTTTATTGATAGATGTGCTCTAATGTGGACGCTTCGATACTGCTCGATTACTTATTATATTGTGTTCATCTTAGTAACTCTCAGTGGAATCCAGTGTTGAAAATGTTTACAACTTCTTCTTTACATCGATGCGAGGAAACATAATGAGAAGATAGACTTGACAACTCATCAATACATGGATCATCATTGTTGTAAGCTTGACATCCGAGATCAGATCTGTGCATGACATACGGCTTAGCAACCATGTCGGATATATTTGTCTTCCATTTCCAATATCTTCTTTTATGTAGTAATGATGGGCAGTGGAATCCAGCGTGCGCATTTCGTCCTGTTTGGGACTCGTACCTGCCTCCCAATGAGTGTTGTTCCCACCGGGACTCGGACTCAGGAGCGATCGCTTCAAACGCCAGAGCGTTATCCACCACACCACCGAGCCACGATAACCACTTCTTGTGTGATGAGTATAGGTTTAGTGTAATTGCTTGTATGACACCATCGTTGACTGGACCGAATTGATCAGTCTCTGTTGGCATATAGGCTCCTATGTGGATGCCTCGATGTTGCCTGTCTTTTTACTATGTATTTTCTTCTACGTCACAAGATCTCTTCAATTTTCCAGCTATACTGCCTCATTTCTGAATAAAACTTATGTCAATATGTGTTTCGATTTAGCCATAGTTACACTGATATTCCTAACTATTCTAAGCAGTTGCCTAAAAACTGCTAAGAACCCATCACTTAGTGTAATCAGAAAAATAACAGTGAACATAACATATTTCAAAGTTATTTATTACAATGAGTTTTCGATAAGATGTTGGTCAATCATAAATTCTTTTGAAAGGTTAGTTAATATTCGACTGAAACTTTACCGTTATTGAGCGACTGGTCATGGTAATTGATTCCAGTATTCCATTGATAGTACACTCCTACTCTCAGACTTTGAACTGAAAGACTTGGGTGTCATCATAAATCATGATTTAAAAACCTTAGCGAACTGTAATGGAGCTGCAGCAAATGGTTTTCGCGTATTATGATCCATCCTCAAAGCTTTCAGTCAGGATATATTAAGAATACTCTGTTCTAATTACGTTACACATCACTTGGAATACTGCATTCAGGAGGCCAGCTCATGCCTAAAACAGGATGCTAACGTACTCGAACGTGTTCAACGGGTAGTTACTAATCTGGTGGCAGGCGTTTTGAATCAACTTCATGAGGAACGACCAGAACGGATAAACCTATTCCCACTATCTTACCGTAAAAAACGGTATGATCTTGTACTGACATTTTGTATCCCTATTACTGACTTCACTGGTGATATGTCGCATCTTTTCTCCCTTGCTAGGATTGAATATCTCCTAGGACATCACAAAAAAGTCCGAAAGCCCCAGAGATCAAATCACTTTACCATGAATCAACGTTTCTATCATCGTGTAGTCAACGACTTTAACTCTTTACCTCAGCAAGTAGTCAACGCATTCAAGGAGAAACTAGATTTTCATAGAGATATCTTCTGCAAGGATTAACACAGGTCAACTGGCCTACTATCTTATAAGTGAAAACTGAAATTGGAACTGGAAAGTGATTCTTACTTGACCTTGAACTGACCAATGAGGTTCAGTGTTATGGATTATGTGAGTCAGTCGCTCAAGGGCTTCAAAATTGTCACTCGAGATTTATGTTACTAGTCAAGAAATCAAAAGAAACGTTATGACATAACTCAACAGATTAACTAACCAACATATTTACTTTACAAAATCATTAATTTCTCACCTTGTTCTTTGACTGACAGACAAATATTTCGTTTGATTCTAAACATGCTCTGGACAATAATAACCATTGTCTTTAATGCAAAATTGTTTTCCCGCTAAACTTTGATTACATGCTGCGCATGTAAAACAATTTTTATGATAAGCTCGTTCATTATACGTCATATATTGTTCACATGGATCAATGATTTTATTGCATGTCTAAAAGAGTAGACAAGTAAGAGGAAGAGGAAGTTATTAGATAATTTCAAGTCATACAAAACTTTAAACATTTCATTGGAATATATATCCTAGTTAGATTACAGGTTTATTCGAAAGTATTACTTAAAGACTTTTCATTCCTCTTCTGTAAGAGGTCACTCAGCTTACTTACTACTTACTTGTTCTTGGAATATTCCATGAACTTCACTTTTCTGTAAGTAATGAAACTAATCTCTGACCGTAAATGCGTTAGTAGATGGACGTTATGCATGTCGAAAAAATAAAGCCGTGAACTACACAGACTAGTAACAATACTGCTTGTAATCTTGAAAAAAATATTATGTCAGGTGTGCATTTTTAGACTATACTTCAGCAGTTCATTCTCTACCAAGATCCCTGCTGCTCAACAAGCTAACCCAGACCAATACTCACTCCTCGATAATCAGCTTGCTGTATTCCTATTCCTATTTCTTTCAAAGGAAACATCATACTGTTCACTGATGGAAGCATTCCACCTCATCGCTTCCTCTAGCTACTGTTACCCAAGCAGACATCCTTCCACTATGTCTTTTCTTCTCATTTCCATACAACTTACCATCTACAGCTGGAATATTCAGTGCAGAATCTCAGCTGATGGATATGTACATCTATTTTAAGAGAAACATCTAAGTCAAGTCCTGAGTTGGATATGCTATATTACCACAAAATTCCACAACTGACTTAAAGTATATTGATTGTGGTGACTAGGAGAGTAATCCAAAAGGCGCGTTTCGTCTTGTTTTGAACTCATCAGCTGGATGTACTTGCACCTCAGTGAGTGATTTCATTCGCACCGTCGCTCAAACCCAGTACCCTACGCTTCAAACGCGAGATCGTTATCCGCCAAGCCACTGAGGCATGATAGCCACCTCTGGTGCAAGATCAGTGTAGCATCATGAATATCCGGCAGTATCGAGGCAGCTGCATGGCTGCATATTTGCCAACAGAGGTCATGCGATTCGGCGCTGCATGGCAACGGGAAATCGCAAGTATCATTACAACAACTTAAGGTAGCCTTTAATCCTTCTCCTTTTATGTGGCGCATGTATCTTGTTGGTTACTCTTCATTCTTTAGTCGTTAGGACCAGTTTCACAAAACCAAAGTTATTCATTGTGAAAACTTCCTACTTATGAAGTTAGTCTAACATGACTAGGCAAGCGTCTGTTCATTTTTTGAGAGTTAAGTTTTCAAAAATGTTGTATTAACCACTACTTTCATTGCGTATTTGTGATATCATCAAGTGGTACATTCCTTTTAGTCAACCGTTTATGGTTTACCCTGATATGGATCACACAATTTTTCAAAGACTTTCAGTTGTGTAAATGGTAGCCAGCCTACTAACAAAGTGTCTGAATACTATCAGTTCACTTCTCATCTATATTTTAAATATAATTATTTAACATTACAGATGAAGTAGTATAGTTGTTTGTAGTACACCATCGTTGATTGGATCGAATTGATCGGTCTGTATTGACAAATGGGCTCCTATATGGGTGCCTCAATATTACCTGTGTTCTACTCAGAGTACTGATGGATAATGACTAGCAGTGGAGTTCAAATGCACATTTCGGTGGGAACAACATCACTCACTGAGGTGCAGGTACATACAGCTGATGAGTTCCAAACAGGAGGAAATGCATATCCTGGATTCCACTGCTAGCCACTATATATCATTATTACAAATAAAACTTTCAAATCAACAGAAATATTTTTCCTCCATTGTTTCTAACAAAAAATGGTGGTCTATAACAAACATTTGAAAAAGGGAACCATGAGATTATGATGTCAGCTAGTTGAAGAGAGATTAATAATTTCAAAGATGTATACTGTTAAAAGATATTAGCTAAAACTGAAGTATTTTATCGTCTTTAGCCTTAAAAGTCAGCATAACTAGTATGTAAATAATTCAGTGTTGTACAGCTTCATGCAAATACTTTAAATGTTCTGTTAGCTTTCACATAGTAGTAGAAATTTATTGTTTGAAATAAAGGCTGATAAAGTCACCTTGTATGACAATGGAATGTCCAAGAAAGTAGATTTAAAATCTTATAAAAACTTACATAATTTATTTTCGCATAAAGTAAATGTATTAAATATGCTAAGATACATAATCCCTCTACATGTAACTTTAACTGAATCTTCCCCCCGCCCCACCCCCCACACATACACAGAGTGATGAATGTATTGCAATCATACTTTTCGAAAATATACATACTAGAAGAAATCGGTTAGTGCAGTAGATTAAAAGTACCAAGAAGTAACAGGTGACATATGTAATACAGGAAATTGCTAATGCAATTCATTAGCCTAATGTTAGACGTTCCAGTGTTTAGAGTTGTGGGTACTTAGTTCGATTCTCAGTGGGAATAACATTACTCATTACAATGTAGATATATCTACTTGGTGAATTGTCATTGCAAGCCACCTTCAAATGAATTATACTTTCAAAACATTGTCGAAATATTATTACACTGAAGTAAATTAGCATGTGGTACATTGAAATTTCAATTGATCAAGTTATTCTGGACTGTAATCACCTGAATACTTATAATGGGTGTAGCATTGATTAACACTTCCTCTAAAGAAATCAGGATAATAAGACACCATTCAGTGAAGCGAATTGTATACACCATTTGAATTCCGGCTAATTACTTACTTTTTATTTCCAAACTCACTTCCATCCAATTTATGTGAGAAGACTATCCATGCCATAATGAATACCACAATTAGATTTTTTCAAGTCAAACCTGGACTGTTTAACTAGTTCACTAGTTACTAGCCGGTCCTTAGCCCGGGTAAAGAGGGATAGTTGGGTATGGGGCTAGCAACCCTACCCTGGAAAACCAATCCAGCTGCTACAGAGACTTCAGAGCACAGACAAAATATAAAAAATAAAAATAAACTTGTTCCTCGCTGGAATTGGGGAGACGAAATGACGTCGGTTGGTGAAAGCCTTCAGGAAGCCAATTGGCCAATGTGTCTTCTCTCTTTCGATGAAAGCGAAAGTAAACGTGGGGACATGGAATATCCGCAGCATGTATGAACCTAGTAAGGCTGTCCAGATTGCAAAAGAGATGAGAAGGTATAATATAGGACTTGATCAAGTTATTCTGGACTGTAATCACCTGAATACTTATAATTGGTTTGGCATTGATTAACATTTCCTCTCACGAAATAAGGATGGTTAGACATCATTCAGTAAAGCGAATTGTATACACCATTTGAATTCCGGCTAAGTACTTACTTTTTATTTCCATAGTCACTTTAATCCAATTTATGTGAGAAGACTATCCATGCCATAATGAATATCACTACTAGATAAAAAAAACAGTGTTCCTTATGTCAAACCAACCGTTGACTCAGGGAAGTTTTTATTCTGAAGAAGATTTTTCTCAATAAAGTCATAATGTACACATGTATATTGGCAAGTTTTCATCTATCCCTTTAAGTTCACTTAGATATAAGATATGTGAGATGCAATAGTAGATAGTCACAGCATATTTTCTAAATGTCTTACTTATTCAAGTGCTTTACATGTATCTGTTTTGAAAGACGAGGTTTTTGATGCCCAACTCTACTTAAGACCACACCCAAAGTAGACATCAAAACATTTTTTCAAGGGAAAATATCTTTTGAAAAGTTGGAACTGGCTAAAATATTAAGAAGAATTGGTTCTCTCTCATGAAACTTCATTAGCTGATCCCCAGAGAAACAACATAGTATAATCTATGTGACATTAAAAATAAAACACCAGCAATTACCCATATTCTAATAGTTATTGTTGGCTAAATTACATTCTTGAAGTATGAGATGTAACAAATAAAACGTATACATCAAGATTACTGTAGCTTTTATCAGTCGTTCAATGATTCAATGCGCTTTATAGTAATTATCAGGATTAGATTTTATGCTTTTAATCTCTCATCATTGCCAATTTCACATTGATGACTTCAGCATAACTGTTCCTGGACTTTTAATTGTTTTATTCTTCTAGTCTAGTCATTGCATCCTAGTTGTTTCATGACGAACTGCTTGTAATAAGGAAATGTCAGTAGATGTAACTGAATTTATTTCCTAACATATAGTGACATTCTTATGTTAGCAATACAGACCGATTAACTTGATCCAAATTAGCCAACTACGGGAAACAATTAGTTGTAGCGTAAAACTACATCCATTGCGCAAAGATTGGCTGAAGTGACTTTATAACCTGCTGATCGTCACTGCGGCGTTTTAAATGATGCGTGACCGGTTCGAATCCCAGACAAGCCATCACTACCCACTGCTATCTGGGACTGAGGTTACATTCCGGGTTTCATTGGTAACCACTATCCATCTTTAGTGTGTAAGTGTGTATGTGTGATTAAAATGAACGAACAGCCACGTATTACAGATTCCCATGTCAACCAGGTAGAAACCTTATTGATTGAAACGAAATTAAGACCTGACCTAAAGCTGATCTCGTAGCTCAATTGATAAAACATCGTGGTAGCAACCTGAAGGTGATTGGTTAGAATTTTGCTGCTACCCAGATTTTCATTTTGTCTTCAATCATTACACCTTATGAATTGTTCGGGTAAGAAACTTGAAAAACTTGAATTCACTAACTGACTAACAGTAGTTCACTTGGTCATATACCTTAACTTGATAAGAAAAATTATATCGCTTGAATTTTGCTTCTCATTTACATTCGGTCGAAACTTTACTCTTCATTATAAGTAATATATTATTATCATCATCTTGGTGACTTGGCTTGGAAACGACTCTTCAATTAGATGTAACTGCACCCCATTGAGTGATGCTGTTCCCGCTGAGACTGGAATCCAGTACGCATCGTTTCAAGCATTAAAGCCTTATCCATTAGGCCACTGGGACATGAGAGCCACCACTTACACAGCGGTTATCAGTTGTTTTTGTTGTAAGAACATCGATAATGCTTGTATATTCATCGTTTTGCAGT